CTCCATATGTGTGGGTAGACATATCAATGGGTGCTACTGACTTCAGTTTTATGAAACCAACTACTCACCAAAAATGGCCATGTCACTATTTAAAGCAAATGAGGGAAAGATGACTGTACTGAAATTGTACTGATTTGGACAAATGAACAGACCCCAAGACCAATATCCTCAAAAGTAGGAAGACAAAAATAGGCTCTGCCTAAACATCTTATAATTCTAATCACTCACATACTCACCCTGTATAGACTGTAACCTTCATATGCTTTTCTTACCCTATCTGAGCCTCCTGACATTTCATCCCCCTGGAATAACTCCAATGCTGTTAAAGATGCTACTGGTCACCATAGCCCATGGAAATGCATGCATGTCCCACATGCCTTTACTGGCAATCATTAAGCCTAGTTAGTCCTTCTCTCAGAGCAAATATCTGCCTATGTTATGTTATATGAGAGTTAATGAACTCATCCCTCTTCCCCAGACTCCAAATAACTCTCCTAGAGCTCAAAATAATGACTGAAATTCCAGCCATTTGCTGGAATTTCATCGTTCCTGTCCATTGAAGATCTTGTTCAAATGTAAGCATGCCACCTCCCTCCCTCCTTTGCAGAGGTGAGGGACTATGGGTTTGGGACATTGCCAGACTCAATTGATATGCTGATTCATTTTACTGAAATCCAATTTTTTTTCCTCTCTTTAAAAAACTTCTTTCTAACAAGAGATGACTGGCTAGGTAGAGAAGGCAGGGATATAGGGTTAGAATTAAAATTTAGAAAAAAAAAACAAAAGATATCAGTATTAAGAAGAAAAATTAAAGGAAGAAAATGTAAGCAGTTTATGAGGATGGCTATGACAGTATTAGAATTAGCTGTCACCTTGCAGAGAGCATTAACAGTAAAGGTAGGCTTTAATGAGGCAGGGAAGAAAGGAGATATAAGAAGGAGAATAGGTAGGACTGGACCTCCTGGGAGACACAGGAATCCAATGACTTCAAAACACTTCAATTCTTCCACAGCTTTGCCTTGCTCAGTAGATTCAGCCCATTTTTTTCATCTGACAAACTTGTTACTCCTCTCTCAAATTGTTTATGTATAATAAAATTAAGGCCAAGGTTCAGATGTCTGGCTTTTTGCTAGCTTTAATAGATGTGACTACCTGTTTACTGTAAAAATCCCCTCTTTGCCTGTGGGCTCTGAGTCACTACTTCTTCAATGGTCACCACTGATCTCCATCTTGTTTATTCCTTGTTTATTCCACCTGTCCAATGTTCTCAAGGCCCTCTTCAATTCCTGCTGGCGTTCCACAAATTGCTCTCCTCCCAATGCTTCATGTGGACAAATGGAATGACCTTGTTTTCATTCCTGATGAATAGAAGGGAAAGTGAAGCAGGGGACCACCTCCAGAAAGGCAGTTAGGTAGAGAGAGAAGATAAAAACTGTTATCTAAAGTCAAAGATAATGGAAATGGATCCTCACTCTGCCACTTACTATATCAGCTTGTGCAAGTCAACATCTCTCTCTGGACCTCAGTTTTCTTATCTGTAAAATAAGGCTGTGTGATTTGATGTCCCTTACAATTGTAAATTTACATATACATGTGTGTATGTGTATGCACATATATAATATCTATAATTATTATATATAATATATCACATATTATACCATATTATTATAATATATAACATATATAATATGTATTATATATATTTGGGGGGGGGAATCACCCTGTGCTTCCATTGGTATATAGAGCTCCCAACAGGGAAACTTTCCCTACCAGCTAGAGTAAACTAGGTGGTGAAGTGACTTGAAAGCTGGGCCTGGAGTCAGGAAGACCTGAGTTTAAATGTGTCTGACACTTACTAGTTGTGTGACCCTGGGTAGGTCACTTAACCTTTGCTTGTCTCAATTTCCTCAATTGTAAAATGGGATAATATTGTTGAGAGAATCTCAAATGAGATAATATTTGCAAAAAAGTGCTTGGCACAGTGACTGGCACATAGTACATGTGTATATAAATGTTTATTTCCTTCCCTCTCCCTACCTGCCCAGACAGATCTTCAACAATTCAACAATTTACAGTCTTAGATGGTTACCTGGGACAGAACAAGTGAAGTGGCTTACCTAGAGTCATACAGCCTAGTCATATGATTTGAACCCAGGATTTCCGGACTCCCAAACCAACTCTCTATCCAGTATATCTCTCCAATGCACTTTGTTACATTTGTTCTATTTTATCATCTAATTACCTCCAAACACCAGCATTAAAATTCATTGCCCAAAATGTTATAAAGATCCTAGGAAAATGCTTGCCATTCTTTAGGCTTTGCATTTCTACAATTGCTATTTGACTCAATTCAATTCAACAAATATTCATTAAGTTCCTACTATATGCAAGGTTTTGCATTCCAGGGTTGAGGAGCCTGTGGCCTCCAGGCCACATGGGACCCTCAAGGTCCTCAAGTGTGGCCCTTTGACTGAATCCAAACTTCACAGAACAAATCTCCTTAATAAAAGGATTTATTCTGTAAAACTTGGACTCAGTCAAAAAGCCATACCCAAGGATCTGGAAGGCCATATGTGGCCTCGAGGCCACAGGCTCCCCACCCCTGCATTAGGCCCAGGGAATACACACAGTTCTTAAGGCCCTCAAAGAATATCCAATCTAATAGGAGATACAGTATTTACACAGATAAGTAAATAGAAGAAAAATTGAGTTAGGAGAAAATCTAACAACTGGGGGAGAACAGACTCAGGAAAGGCTTCCTATAGGAAATAGCACCCAAGGTAGGCTTTGAAGGAAACTTCGCAAGAAGGAAGTGTATTCCAGGCTCAGAGAATAGCTTATTGCAAAGTCATAGTGAGGGGAGATGTAATGTTGAGCTTAGGGAACAACTACCAATTGAGTACAAGTAGAGTAAAAAGTAAAAATATTAAATAATCCCCCACCCCCAAATCAGTGGGAGCCACACTATGAAGAGATTTAAGAATCAGGCTAAGGAGTTGATATTCTATGTAAATGGCAGTAGTGAGCCACTGAAGACGGAACCATGAATATCCATTTTTTCAGCACAGACAGTTCTGCTGTAACATATTTCAAAAACAAGAATTTGTTCCAACTTGATCGATATATTAGAGAACATTTTGAGCATGACTCAGATCTCGAGTTTGCTTATGCATGCTTTCTTTGGAGAGAAACAGAGAGAACATTCAGAAAGCAGGGCAGCTTCACAATAACTCACAAGCTGCAACCCTTCCTATATCCACTTCTATAAGCAAACTTCAGGTCTTTGCCAAGGTGAAGTGTCATATTTTTGTTTATCTGCTGGTGCAGTAGCAGTTAGGTAGCACTGGTCCTCACCACTCCCATCTCCAGCTCTACTCTATCCACTTCTGCCATAGCCTCCAGCCGGAAGGCCTGGAGTTTTCACCTGCCCAACCACCTCTTGCAACTTGGAGCAGAGGTCAAGCAGCAGCTGGATGCTATAGACCAGGCCACTCTTTATCGCAATACTTATTTCTTAACCATTTAACAGTATAAAACTGTGCTACCATTTTTATTAGATCTCTAACTTTTTATTTTTATTTAATGTGTAACTAATGAAGTTTTTTTTTAATTTTTCAGCATTGTACCCTTAACCTCATTTTCCCTAGATTTTCTATTGCTTTTAGTGCTGTATTTTGCATTGTTGCTGTTCAGTCATGTCTGACTCTTCATTATCCTCTAACCCTAATCCTAAATGCATGCCAATGCTATCCAAGGAATTTTCTTGGCAAAGATACCAGAGTGGTTTGCCATGTTCTCCAAAGAATTAAGGAAAATAAAGGTTAAACAACTTGCCCAGGGTCACATAGCTAGTAAGTGTCTGAGGTCAGATTTAAACTCAAGTCCTACCGGCTTCAGGCCCAGTGCTTTACCACTGAGGCATCTAGTTGCTTCCAATTTTAAATAGCTCAGTGTTTTTTGAGAATGAGTACATCAACAACATAGCAGAACTGACTATACGACCTGATGTGAATTCTGCATCTTTGTTGACCATATTTTCCCAAGTTACTGTCAAGTAGTATTTCATGGAGGAGAGAACTCAGTTACAGAATCATAGATCATTGCTCAGACGTTAGAGCTGAAAGGGTTCTTTAAAGACCACCTAGTCAAGACACTTCATTTTATAGATGAGAAAAGTGAGGCCAAGATTGAGGTGACTTGTCCAAAGTCCTACAGCTAATAAATAACAGAGCCAAGATTTGAACTCAGGTCTTCTCACTCAAAATCCAGAATTATTTTTTTCTACACCACGCTGCCAAGGACCAAGACACAGCTTCACAGCCTGGTTCCGACACTTTCTTAGCTGTGTGATACCAAATAAGTTGTATTGTCTCCTTGAGCCTTATTTTCCTCATCTGCAAAATGGGGCTAATAATACTGTTGGGTGAGAAATACTTTAGAAATCTTAAAAGCTGACACAAAATTGAGTTAGATTTTATGAAGAAAGTCCTTTATAATATAGATGGTGAGGGTTGTACCAAAACCTGGATAATTATCTGTCAGATAATTTTGAGGCAGAAGTCACATTTCTGGCTGAGGCTGGATAAGGGGCAAGGAAGAGAAATTTTTGAACTGAAATAGGAAGAAAACCTACTTCCTACTCTAAAAGGAATTTCTCATAGTCTATGTTCTTTAAAATATTTTGTCCTTAGTTCATCTGCTATAGCTGTCCTTCAATTGTTTATCCCCTAGAGATAGCAACTTTGCTCAACAAAATCTACAGATATTCTACAAAATCTACAATATTCTACAGAGCAGCAACTCATAGGCTTCTAATACTTAACAGGTAGTAAAAAATAATCTTTTCATTCTCCTGTGTATACTCACAAGTGAACAATCCAAACATTTCACAAAGAACTTTCTTTGAGATGAAGAAAAAAAAACACATGTAAATTAGAACAAAAAGTCCTCCAAAATATCATGGCACCATCAGGTCTTATGAATAAAAAAAGGGCTTCTACCTTACTGGCTTCTCCTTCAAATACTGACTGGTGAACGTTGCAGGCAAATAGAGCGTTTGGGAGGTCATTGAAGTCGGTTATTGCTTGGAAGGCTTCTTCTGCGAAACATCTTGTTATATCCCAGTCTCTATCTATGCAGTATAGTAAGAAAAGTCCTCCATCTTCCGAGAGGTGACCATATTGCCCAGGATTTCTCATTCCAATGAAATAAGATTCTCCCCTCATTCCTGGTGAGAAAAAGACAAATGAACATTGAAAATAAAAGTTGGACTTCACAAGGCAGAGCCATACAGTTAGGTTTATGTGGGATAACCAATACAAGCCAAGAAGATGTGAAACAGGTATGAAGTAAGAAGACACTGTTCCTTTGTCTTCTTCAAATCTTCAGGCACAAAAGGATGGTGAGAAACTGTATCAATGTGAGTAAGAAAGAGTATCTGAGACTCAAGGTCCAGAGTAGTCCCTTATCCCCAAGTGTTTTCTGAGTCTGAATTTCTCAATCCAATTGAATGAGGTAAAGTGGAAAAGAAGCCAGACAATTAATCTCTAGTCTGATTTAGTAACTAATACCAAACTACTACTACTAATAATAATCCCATTCCTTTTATTTAAGTGCAATAGTCAATCATTTTACCTACCTGTTCAAAAAAACATTAAAGAATAATAGCTATATAGCAACTTTTCCCAGGACTATTTTGATCTAAATGGCATCAAACAAGATATAAACAAGATAGCAAAGAAGTATTTTTGAACAAGTGATTGATAATAGAAATGGAAGAGGTCAAGAACAAAATTTTAAAAAGAAAGAAGAAAGGAAATGGAGGGAGTCGTGATAGCACTATAGGATTTGGTTTTTGCTACCAGAAAGTTAATTCTTTTTTTTTTAGGCAATGGGTTTAAGTGACTTGCCCAGGGTCACACAGCTACTGAGTGTTATGTGTCTGAGGCCAGATTCAGAAAGTTCATTCTTAAGAAGCCCAGACTTAGAGATTAATGCAATTTATTCCATACTGGATCTAGAGCATTGTCACAGATCAAACTATTATGCCCTGATATAACATTCACCACACAAAAATGCAAGAACAATTTTAATGGATGTTGTCCTAACTTCCAAAATATATGGAATGAAAATAAATACCTAGTAGAAGAAATAAAAAAAACATATGGGAATAGGGGAAAATGCATATCGTCCTTGTCATCCTATCTACCACTAGAGTTACCCAGATGTTTCAGTAAAATCTACAGAAAATAAGAGTACATCCTCGTGTGATGATAATGGTGGTGGTGGTGGTGATGATGATGACAACGATGATGATGATGATGATGAAGACGACGATAATGATGATGATGATAATGGTGGTAGTGGTGATGGTGATGATGTTCACAATTCTACTTTGCATCTGCTACTCTGGTTTCAGCACCACAGAACAAGATGCTCCTCCAAGGATAAACTCATCACTTCTAAACTCACCACCATGCTGCTCTCTCCAGCCTTATTGAAACCACCTCTCTCAACCTCCTTTCTCCTCTAATTGGAAGAATGGAGGGCAGAGTGCCAAACTCCTCCATGTGCCTTCCTTTATAAAGGAGCAGGAACTGAACTCTCAGGAATTGGACTCCACTTTGTATCACTAGGGAGATCCTTACAGTGGTGAAATCACAGGTCTACTCCCTATCTCTATTTGTTGTTGTTCAGTCGTTCTAGTTGTGTCTGACTCTTCTATGACCCCATTTGGGGTTCTCTTGGCAAAGTTACTAGAGTGGTTTGCCTTATTAGCCAAGTACTCCCTGGTGGCCACTCCCCTTTTATCTTTCCTGCCTCCTGTCGTATGTTGTCTCTCTCTTTGGATTGTAAGCTCCTGGAGGGCAAGGGCTGTCTTTTTTTTATTAATTTATATTTCTAGCACTTAGCACAATGTCTGGCACATCAAAGGTACTTAACTAATAAATATTTATTGAATTGAAATGGATTGGATGATAATGAGATTGGGTCTCTCTATCTTGTCCAGGTTGGAAGTATAGCAGGCACTCATAGGATAGATCCCACTGCCGATCAGTACTCGAATTCTGATCTCCATTTCTAACCCAGGTTGGTTCACTCCTCCTTGGATAGTCTGGGACTTACCATATTCACATCAAACCTAGTGCAGTCATCCTATTGGTTTTAGCTTTACTGTAGTTCAGAAACAGAATTCCACACAACGTTCCACAACCATGGACCGAGATCTTTGGGGATTTGTGTTCTTATATTTCTTCTTTGGGCCTATGCCTTGTCATTATAATTCCACAGCATTCAGTTTCAATTGTTTTGTGATGGTTCTTTCCATTTACATTATGGTGCTAAGTGTGCATGTTGGTTTCCTGGTTCTACTTAAGTCACTTTGTATCAGTTGACATCATCTTTCTCTACTTCTCTGTATTTATCAAAGTTGCTGTTTCTTAAAGCATGGCAATATTCTATTACATGCATCTGCCATAATCCGTTTAAGCATTCTTCAATTTGTGGGGATTTGCTTTTTTTAGTTCTTTGCTCCATAGTCAATAAATATTTATATACCACAAAAAGTGCTACTATAAATAATTTGGTATATTTGGAGCCTTTCTTTTGGTCAATGACCTCTTGAGATATTCCAGTAGTGATATATCTGGGTCAATTTAGTCACTTTATTTGCACAACTCCAAATTACTACCCAGAATGGTTGTTATAATAATAATAATAATAATAATAATAATAATAATAATTTATAATAATACTAATAACAACAACTAACATTCATCTACGTGCCAGGCACTATGTTAAATGCTTTACAAATATTATCTCATTTTATCCTCAATACAATCCTGTAAAGAAAGTGCTATTATCATCTCCGTTTTGCAGTTGTGGAAACTGAGGCAAGCTGAGATTCAGTGACTTGTCCAGGTCTCACAGCATAAGTGTCTGAGGCTGGATTTGAACTTGGGTCTTCCTGACTGCAGGCCCAGTGCTCTATCCACTGGGTCACCTAGCTTCCCTGAAGTTTGTCAATTCATAGTTCCATCAATATTCATTAGTGTGCTATCATTCTAGAGCCTCTCTAATATTGAGTATTTCTAATTTTCATATTTTTAACAATTTTGTGGTTATTAGGTGGAACTAAAGGATGATTTTAATTTGTCATTGTTGTTCCATCATTTCAGTTGTGTCTGACTCTTTGTGACTTCTTTTGGAGTTTTCTTGGCAAAGATATTGGAGTGGTTTGCCCTTTCCTTTTCTGGCTCATTTTACAGATGAGAAAACTGAGGCAAACAGGGTTAAGAAACAGTATCCCCAAAAAAGGATGGAATACACTTGATAGATATCTTCAATAAGACATTTGCATATCCATGTATAATATTTGTATTATATTATTGTATATATTGTATTACATTGTATATATTGTATATATTGTATTATATTATCCTTTTTCATTTTATGTTTATTCTTATGTTTTAGTATAATATCCATACCAACATTCTTAATATTTTTTTTTTATCAAAAAGCATGATATAGTGGATAGAAAGCTAGGAAGTCCTGAGTTCTAGTCCTCTGACGTAAACTGGCTATTTAGTACCGGGTAAGTCATTTAACTTCTCAGGCTCTTTGCAACTCTCTAAGACTATAAGTTGTGGAGAGGGTGCTAATACTTGGATTGGTAGAGGGAATTTCCTCACCAAGCAGTTCTTTACAGTGGTGAAATCAGAAGTCTAGGCCCTAGCACTATGTTTTTGCTGTTGCTCAGTCATTTCAGTTGTGTCTGACTCTTTGTGACCTCATTTGGAATTTTCTTGGCAAAGACTCTGGAGTGATTTGCCATTTCTTTCTTCAGCTCATTTTATAGATGGGGAACCAAGGCAAACAGAGTTAAGTGACTTGCCCAGGGTCACATAGCTACTAAGTGGCTGAGGTCAGATTTGAACCAAGGAAAACGAATCTTCCTGACTCCAGGCCTGACACTTTGTCTCCTGTGCTGCCTACTTGCATTATTATTACTATTACTATTTCTATTACTATCCCTATTATTATGCACCTGGCTGTTAGGAAATTGATTTTTTTTTAATCTCAGTAATGCAACACTAAGAATGTCAAGATTAGATAAGACTCATAAATGAATGAAAAAAACATTTTACAATAAAGAAGAATGAAACATTTATGATCATCTGCCATCAGGAGACATAAATATCGAGGACCAATTTTGAATTTTTAAAAATTACATAATGCCTTTAATTAAAATATTTTTCAAAAATAATTAACATCTGATCTCCAAATGCTCTCAGATATGTTCTGATACAGTGTTTTCATTTTTCTCTTTCTACTCAGGAAAATATATTCATTGCTGCCCAAATTAATTTAATAGACTAACTGTTAGGCCTCACTCATGACTCATTTTAATCTACTCAAATAACTTGAACTTCAGATCTAAGCTGTAACAATGCAATTATCTTCACAGGACATTATTCTAAGCCCATTACATTCAGTAAAGATTTAAAAGGTGAATAAATCCTTGGCAAGTGACCTATTATGCTTATTTGGAGAAATACTTCAGGATTTAGGTCAGTGAATGGGAATAAAAAAAATCCTTAAATCTATTTTCAGTGCTATCAAAACCTTAACTAAATCCATTAATCATTCTGTGACTCAGTTTCTCCAACAACAAAACAAGGCTATTTATACCCATTTGCCTATATGGTATGGGTGATGTCTTTTGATCCGTGCATAAATTGGATTCAAGTGAGGCAGGGTTGCATGAAGTCATCGGCCTCACTCTCTCCTCTAGAGTTGCTGCAGTCGGTAGCAGGGTGATGGCTCAAGATGCAGTGGATGACCTTGGTGTTTTCCATGACTAACCAAGCTCTAAGAGCTCCTCACTGCCTGCTTCAGCTGCCTTTGTGGTCATTGGAACAAATTGTTCTCATCTACCCATTACACCAGGGTAAGTCTTCTCATGCTTGGGTAGATGCTCCCCTAACTCACCAACGGGTTTGAGACCCCTCAGTTACCCTCAACCTGGTTTAGCCCATCTGCCAAAATGGTTTACCAGGGTGTGGCCACTGTGCAAGCTATAGCTTCTTGGAGCCACAGGTGAGAGTTAGATGGATTACGTGGACACCAAAGGAGGAAAGCAGCCTTGAAAAGGGCTCAGCAGCCCTCATGCCAGAGGTGCTCGTCTTCCCAGCACACACCCTACACCCTTTGCCTATATAAACAATA